TGGTTCAAAGGCCAGATATTGGTAAATCGATGGTTCAAAGGCCAGGCATTGGTAAAAGGGTTCAAAAGCTAGGCATTGGTAAAAGGGTTCAAAAGCCAGGTATTGGTAAAAAGGTTCAAAGGCCAGGCATTGGTAAAAGGGTTCAAAGGCCAGGCATTGGTGAATGGTTCAAAGGTCAGGCATTGGTAAAAGGGTTCAAAGGCCAGGCATTGGTAAAAGATTTCGAAGGCCAGGCATTGGTAAAAGAGTTCAAAGGCCAGGCATTGGTCAACGGGTTCAAAGGCCAGGCATTGGTAAACGGGTTCAAAGGCCAGGCATTGGTAAAAGGGTTCAAAGGCCGAACATTGATAAAGGGTTCAAAGGCCAGGCATTGGTAAAGGGTTCAAAGGCCATGCATTGGTAAAAGGGTTCAAAGGCCATGCATTGGTAAAAGGGTTCAAAGACCAGGCATTGGTAAAAGGGTTCAAAGGCCAGGCATTGATAAAATGGTTCAAATGCCAGGCATTGTTAAAATGGTTCAAATGCCAAGCATTGGTAAATGGGTTCAAAGGCCAGGCATTGGTAAAAGGGTTCAAAGGCCGAACATTGGTGAGTGGTTCAAAGGCCAGGCATTGGTAAAGGGTTCAAAGGCCAGGCATTGGTAAAGGGTTCAAAGGCCAGGCATTGGTAAAAAGGTTCAAAGGCTGGACATTGGTAAAGGGTTCAAAGGCCAGGCAATGGTAAAGAGGTTCAAAGGCTAGGCAATGATAAAATGGTTCAAATGCCAGGCATTGGTGAATGGTTCAAATGCCAGGCATTGGTGAATGGTTCAAAGGCCAGGCATTGGTAAAGGGTTCAAAGGCCAGGCATTGGTAAAAAGGTTCAAAGGCTGGGCATTGGTATAAAGGGTTCAAAGGCCAGGCATTGGTAAAGGGTTCAAAGGCCAGGCATTGGTAAAGGGTTCAAAGGCCAGGCATTGGTAAAAAGGTTCAAAGGCTGGGCATTGGTATAAAGGGTTCAAAGGCCAGGCATTGGTAAAGGGTTCACAGGCCAGACATTGGTAAAAGTGTTCAAAGGCTAGGCATTGGTAAAGGGGTTCAAAGGATAGGCATTGGTAAAAGGGTTCAAAGGCTGGGCATTGGTATAAAGGGTTCAAAGGCCAGGCATTGGTAAAAGGGTTCAAAGGCCGAATATTGGTGAATGGTTCAAATGCCAAGCATTGGTGAGTGGTTCAAAGGCCAGGCATTGGTAAAGGGTTCAAAGGCCAGGCATTGGTAAAAAGGTTCAAAGGCTGGACATTGGTAAAGGGTTCAAAGGCCAGACAATGGCAAAGATGTTCAAAGGCTGGGCAATGATAAAATGGTTCAAATGCCAGGCATTGGTGAATGGTTCAAATGCCAGGCATTGGTGAATGGTTCAAAGGCCAGGCATTGGTAAAGGGTTCAAAGGCCAGGCATTGGTAAAAAGGTTCAAAGGCTGGGCATTGGTATAAAGGGTTCAAAGGCCAGGCATTGGTAAAGGGTTCACAGGCCAGACATTGGTAAAAGTGTTCAAAGGCTAGGCATTGGTAAAGGGGTTCAAAGGATAGGCATTGGTAAAAGGGTTCAAAGGCCAGGCATTGGTAAAGGGTTCAAATGCCAGGCATTGGTAAAAGGTTTAAAGGATAGGCATTGGTAAAGGGTTCAAAGGCCAGGCATTGGTAAAGGGTTCAAAGGCCAGGCATTGGTAAAAAGGTTCAAAGGCCAGGCATTGGTAAAAAGGTTCAAAGGCCAGGCATTGGTAAAAGGGTTCACAGGCCAGGCATTGGTAAAGGGTTCAAAGGCCAGGCATTAGTATTTGAATTTCAAAAGTTCAAAAGGTCTGAAACCCCTAGGAGTTCACCAACGATGAGTGGATTGGATCCATCAAATATTGAGATAGAGTGAATTTGGAAAAATATCTATACATAAATTATTACTGTATCACTGAGCATAAAAACAACAACAATCCACTGAATTTAACGTACCTTTTGTGTTTTTTCCAGGATAGTTTTTTGTCTTGCACCCAGACCAACAACAGCAGCTGCTTCATCCTGTCGACGAGATTTATGTTTCTCCAATTTCTCTTTAAGCTGGAAATAGTAAAACAGAATTAAATTAAAGTATCACTTAATAAATATAGCATGAGTTAATTGACTGTGTCCATGCACGCACAATCTATAAAGAGGGCAATGATGATATGCAGAGAGACGATCTCTCATGGCACAAGACATTTGGGAGTGATGATATGCAAAATGATATCAGAAAAGTGATACTTAATTTTAAAAGTAAAGTTTGAAAAGGGTGATGCTAAAAATATCTTTAATATCGACTATAACCAGATCCTAATTGGGTTCTCTTCATATACTTTCCTTATTTTGCCATCTAAAATTCAAACATTTTAAGGAAAAGAAGGAGAGAACAGGTAACTTACCATCTCAGCTTGTTTCATCTGTTCTTTCTCAATGGTTTGTTGAGCTTTGGTTTGTTCACTAACCAGGGTAGATAATATTTGTTTCTTTTTTTCTTCAGAAACATTGATGTCAACAACCGTCTTTTGTCGTCTCATTGGACCACCAGGCTGTAAAAACATTATAACAAACAAATTTTAACCTTTTCACCACCAGTTCCCTCCTTTCATCACAAAATAGTTACAGTTATAGTCTGCACATTCCTTCAGAAGATTGGGACAAATATAGCACATTTTTTTGAGTAAAAACTGAAAATTTACTCAAATTTTGTCTGTTGGCTCCAAAATTAGGGTTTATTTCCAGAAATATTGAAAGAATATAAGAAAAAAGTGCAGACAAATTTGTTCAAGAAAGTCTGGTGATGAAAAGGTTAAAGCGACAGAACAAGGTCCACATTTGAAGGCTGATACTAGATTAATATTTGGCATTGATTCATGAACTTGATAGCCAATGTATGTCAGTGGTATGATAGACATTTCAGACTGCATTACTTGTCAATACGACTGCAAACCTGTAAGACTAATTGTAGTGAGCATTTTAGAGTTGAATCTACATGGGAAATGGATATTATAAATAATAATTCACTTCATCTGAGTAAATAATTTCCAAGAGTTTTTGTGCTTTTTTCAGAAAATCCAAGATGGCCCCAAATTGTGTTAATTTTTGTTGAAAAGAAAGTGGCCAAACTATGTGAGTAATCAAAATTATTTTATTTTTCTTGTACTTGAACCCTAATATAAATACATATGGAAGATAGAAAGTAAACACACTAGTCTTAAAGTCAACTAACTTTTGCTGAAAGTTTAAATTCTTTTGTTTTTATCCCTCTACGAGAATCGACTCATAATTCATCTTACCAAATCTGGATACACATCTGATTTCTTTGCCGAAGTCAGTTTCTGCGGGTGTTTAGCCGCTTCTTCCTCAACTAGTCTCTTCTCAGCATCCATTTCCCTCTTCTTTTTCTCCAGCTCTTCATGTTCTTTCATTGTCTGGGCTTCATCACGAGCATTTTGTGCCTCTCGTCGCTGTTCTCTTCTTGATTTCAGTTTCTCTTTCATCTGAAATATTCAACAAGGTCATAATGATGGAGGTTATATCCTCCAAAGAATTGATGACTATTTTAAAAATATTAAACCAGGTCAATGATTCATAATGTTTACGAAAATAGCTAGCGTTCTTAGAGACATTATATTTTATACAGTTGTTATAGCAATACCCCTCAGAAAGTACCAGGCTATGTGACCTTTAGATGATATATATATATATAAAGTACCAGGATGTGTGACCTTTAGATGATATATATATATAAAGTACCAGGATGTGTGACCTTTAGATGATATATATATATATAAAGTACCAGGATGTGTGACCTTTGGATGATATATATATAAAGTACCAGGATGTGTGACTTTTAGGGGTCATATAAAGTACCAACAAGTAATTATTACCATAATTCCCTGTCTGTCTTTTTCTTCACTATCTTTCTGTTCTTGAAGTTTGAGAGTTCTCTCTGCATTTTTCAACAACGCTAGCGCTATCACTTCTTCATACTCTTTCTCATCCTTTGCATGTTTCTTAGCAGCCAGCCTCTCTTTCATCTTCTGCTTCTGTTTTTCTAACTGTTCCTTCATTGCCTTGTGGAGGAAGAAAAAGTTTTCTCAAAATTAATTTTGAAATTGATATAGAGAAAGGTTGATATTAATTTAAAATTATATTATCAATTTATTTAAGTTTATTTTTAGACAAAAAGTTTTTCAACAATTCTCCTTTGTGTTTTAGTATTGTTATTCTCTTTTAGGGGGTCTATGATTATACGTAAAGTGATTTCATTGTGTCAGTGCTGTTCGGTTTTCAAACAGCAAGAGTAGATTAGTAGCTATAGAATAAATTTATTTATTTTATATAATCACTCAACATCTATTTCAATGGATGATAATAGATACAAAGTACACAAACATAGACAAGGACAAAATAGTGGCAAGTCAAAGCTGAAAAAAACACACACGGGAAATTACAACAAATATGAAAAAATAAACACAGACATGACTAGTGGATCCAAGAACTATAGGAGGGTCATTGAGTACGATAACATCAATATCTACATGTAGGTAGTAAATAGATTCTCAAATATTGGTCTAAAGTAAAGGGATTCACATGGATTTATTGTTCAAGAAAAAGCTGAATTGATCATCATAGTTTATTTGATTCAAATAATGAAATTTGTGGATATGGACTGGAACTCTGGAATGTGAAATGGATGAGTGACTGTTTCACAAACACTTTGATTTTTACAATAATAATCACAAATATTACTTGAAGGTTCTTACCTTTTTCTTTGCAGCATGCTGTCTTTCAAGCTCAGCTAACATAGCATTTGCATCAATTTTATTCCCTTCTCGTCTCGCTCTTTCTACATTTAAAAAGAAAATAAAGTTGAAAATTTCAAAAAGTTTAAATGATACACTTTTCAGATGCTGATGAAATGACAGGTGTTTTAGATTCTTCATCATCATCATCGTTCAGCTTTTTAAATGTTTGCTTCAATGTATCATTGCTCAAAACAGATTTGATAAAAATGGATTCAGCTCAATTTGAATTTATATTGTAGGATCAGTTGAATTTCAATTTGATTTGATTTAAAATATATTTCAATTTGATTTAGGATCCAGTTCAATTTGATTTAGGATAAAGTACAATTTGATTTAAAATCCAATTCAATTTGATTTACATTATACGATTTAGTTCATTCTCAATTTGATTTTATAGCTCAATTTGATTTACGGTCCAGTTCAATTCGATTTACGAAGCAGTTCAATTTGATATAGGATAAAGTATAATTTTATTTATAATCCTATTCAATTTGATTTACATTATAGGAACCAGTTGAATTTCAATTTGATTTAGAAAAAAGTTTAATTTGATTTAAGGTCCAGTTCAATTTGATTTATGAAGCAGTTCAATTTGATTTAGGATAAAGTACAATTTCATTCAGGACCCAGTTTTTATTAATTTGATTTAGATCCAGTTCAATTTGATTTAGGATTCAGTTCAGACTGCATTTTTTTAAATCATGAACAGGGACACCTTTAATATCCTTATCAATGTTGTCAGGCATATGTAATTGAGATTCACTTCAAACATCACACATAACTCGCGTCATCAAACAGATCACTTATTATGGAAGAGTGTTTTTTTGTGCATGCAGCAAAACCATGGCTTCATAGATCTCAGAATATACATCTCAGAAAATAATTTAGCTGACATCTCAGGCCTTTATTTCAGGAAAAGAATATATAATAAGTTTAACATGACAATAATGCAGGATCACATAGATGTCTGCTACCTGTTTGTCTATACCATCACTGCACTATGTGCATACAACAGTGTAATGTACACAAATGTACCAGATAACACAAAGTAACTCTACTACAAATGTATATCGTGTGTCTAATGGAACATACATGGTGAGGGCACAAACTAGAGGTTAATAAAACTACAGTGCACTGTGCATTCATTATCTACATCACTCACTAAACAACACTCACTAAACAACAACAACAACAACAACAACATGCACTATAACAACCACAAATCACACATGCCAAGACATGTAAATTCAATAGTTGAAATGACTTACTCTTTCCTAAAATGCATTTCATAAAGGGAAGGAGAAAACAAAATATTGTAAGTAAAGTTTAAAATAATACTATCAATTTTTTGGAACGCTGAAATGGGAAATATTAAATTACCTCAATCATTAGGAAGTATCGGTAGATCTTCAAAATTCATGTTTTTTAAATTTGACAACAATTATATTCAATGTTCAAAACATGTTTATTCAATGCAGCAACTAGATGCCACATTAATCTCTTTATTATTTATGGATAAAACAAAAGAATCCATAAAAATACACAAACCTTTAACTTCTTGTATATTTCTCTCATGTTTAATGTCCAAATCTTCAATTTCACCTTCCAGCTCATGGATATCTTCACTACGAATACTAATCATACTCTCAGAACGTGTCACTTGGAGTGGATCGCTATCAAGAACAGATGAAGCCATGTTGTCAAACCATCCTTCACGTCTTGCTCGTCTCTGATCTTCTTTCAGTTTCTCAAATATTCGTTCAGCCTGGATAGAACATTACTTCTAATCAATTTATTGCATAATGGCACCATAACAATGCTTGGAATCTTACTCATATAGTGTTCCATATCTTGCTCTTGACAATATCTGGGAGTGATGTTTTATTTCCAACTCATAATGTAAGTCTAACATGCATGTACGTTTTATTTATTTTCAACTTATATTATTTTACCATGAGTAATTAGTCATAATTGCGAGAAGGTTATATTTAGAATGCCATGCACAAGTCAGATATGCACTATAATCTGATAAGAGGCCGCAAAGAGCAGCAGTGAGAATTCATACCAGACCTTTTCTTGTAAACTGTTTAGCACAAAGAAAGAGTACTAGTAGTGTACTCTCCCAGTAAATGCTGACAACAAATGCTAAGCCAAAACTATTTGCTATTGAAAGTAAGCATCATACAGGCCAAGAGTGTTATAATTACTGTTAAAGCGCGGTGGTCGTGGCGCAGCACGTGTTCGAATTTCATGTAAATAAACAATGTATTTTACACACGTTGTATACGTCGTTACGTCGCCCTTTAAACCATGGCATACCTTATCAGAACCTAGGATTTTACTCATAGCATTGCTCTCAGCTTGCTGTTTCTCCTGCACATCCGATAGTAACTTTACTTGAACTTCACTCTCAATATTCTTCTCAGGGACACTTCCATCGGCCGCTGTTGATCGTCGCAGTTCTTGAAAAAATAAAACACATTTCATTTCAATTCAGATGGGCAGTAGGATGGTCATCTTGCTTAATGATACTGTAAAATACTTTATTTTAGCTGGAATTAATTTTCGCTGAAAAGAATCTTTGGGTGTTTTGTATGGAATTTATTTTCATTGATTTTTGAATGTAAAATATAGGAAAAAAAGTATATTCGCTGGATTTTATTTCCACTGAACCATTCCTTTAGTGAAAATTATTTCCAAGCAAAAATAAAGTATTTTACAGTAAGTTAAATGAAATATATAACTCAAAACCACATAGTAGTTCCTGATGCCATGCTGAAAGAAGAAAAACACACAAACATACCTTCCATTTTCAGTAATACGGCTACTTCCAGTATATCATATTGTTTTTCTTGATTGGCTGCTAACTTTGTAAGATGTTTACCTAGTTCGCTGGGTGAAAGGTTATGATAATCTGCGATATCTGCATCTTTCTGTGACTGTCGCCTCCATCTATCTCTCTTACTCTCTAATTTACGCAATTTCTTGTTCAACTCCTGCAGAGAACGAACATTTATTCATACAATGACTTTTTTGTCAAGATTGGTATATATTATATGCTTATAAAAGCCAAACAAGGAACTTAGTCTGTTTCAATCTATGAATTTTCAAACCATAACATTATTTGAAATATTTGATTTCAGTAAATAGATCAAATGGCTTAGTGTAAAGAAATATTTGTACTTTTCAAAGGACATTCAGCCAAATTATTCAAAACACAGAAAGCTGTACGTCTTTGATGTGTTGACCACAAGGGAGTGCGTTGTTGAACTATTCTCATGTTTTGTAAATACAAAAAACTTTCCTTGAACACTTAGAATATGATCTGAACATAAAACTGTGTACATTCTGTTGGTTTATAGTGTGTCGATGTTTGTTGTTGTTGTTGAGCTTATATTAATAATAATATAGCATTGTGTCACTCACTTAGTTTTCCAAATTGCTTTTTTGCCAAAAAAATATAAATCCATATAGCCAAGTCAATTTTTTTCTAAAATCTTTCACTTTTAGTTTCACACTTATTTTGTCACCATGTACCAATTTCAAACGTCTTTTAGAAACCCACAACGTATACATAACAACAAATTTTAACAGAAGTTGGAACATATCCAACCAGTGCGACAGGAATATCACATAATCCCTTGAACGGTAATAGTTTATTGAGAAACTATAGCCCAAAATGACAATGAAAAATGTTTTGTGCTGTGCGAGTGATTGCATAAATGATTCTATTTCCGTTACACACTATAAAATTTCTGCATTCAATGTAAACAAAGAACAGTGTTTGAATGTGACGCAAAAGAACCTCGAACATTTCAATGTTGATGATGTAGTTTATCCCATATAAGGGTAAATTCAAATGCGTGCTGATATGTTTGGAAAAATTGATAATACAGCTTTGTTTACAGAACTGCAAATTCTATTGTTTTCGATGCTTGATGTCATCTTATAACATTAGACCATTCAAACTTTTTATTTTTTGAAAAAGATAAACAAACTAAAGTATTTACCTCATCAGAAAGTTTTTTTGCTGCTTCTTTTTCTTTCTTGTTTTCTTCTGCATGGTTTATTAATATCAATAACATATCACTTTCTGTTTTGTGTTTCTTTTCCAGCTCTGTTAGTACAGCCTCTTGCAGAACAGCCACCCCTGAGAAGTCATAATTTGAAAACAAAAGAAAAAAACGATTATTTGAAGAACAGTCATAATAACACGATAGCACTCACAACACCAACAGCCACCAGTTAATTCTGAATAAACTGTTACACTAATTGCATAGTACCTGTCTCTGTTGCCATTTTTTCTGTATGTAATTCTATTATTTCACAAACACAGCACATATCTAACACTGTAAACTCAGACATTGCAAATTATATCTAAGAATGTTCCTACATTTAAGACTTTTGCTAGAACCTTGATTCATGGGTTTTTCATTTCACTATTTTTGCTGCAAGCTCAAAAAACAACCTAAAATCATGTAAACATATGAAACTACAAAAGAATTGACATATACATGTACACTGTATATTATATTGTATGTGTAGTTTATTTATTACCAAAACTGAAATGTCAGATTTCATTTAGGATGTAATAAAGCATTATTCTATTCTATTCTATTCTATTCTATTCTATTCTATTCTATTCTATTCTATTCTATTCTATTCTATTCTATTCTATTCTATTCTATTCTATTCTATTCTATTCTATTCTATTCTATTCTATTCTATTCTATTCTATTCTATTCTATTCTATTCTATTCTATTCTATTCTATTCTATTC